CTTCCTTCCTTCCTTCTTCAAGGAGGAAGCTGCCTTAGACCTTGGTCCATCTTTGCTATCTTCATCAGATCTTTCAGAGGCTGTGTTTTGTCTGTTTGTTTGATTTTTGTTAAAAATGTAATACAAATGTCTGGTTGCTGATGACACGATAAATATAAATAAATAGAATCATAGAGTTGGAAGAGACCTTATGGGCCATCCAGTCCAACCCCCTGCCAAGAAGCAGGAATATTGCATTCAAAGCACCCCTGACAGATGACCATCTAGCCTCTGTTCAAAAACCTCCAAAGAAGAAACCTCCATCGCACTCTGCAGCAGAATTTCACAACCAACTTTCAGACCATAAGACCAAAAAAAAGCGCCTTTTTTTAGAGGCAAAGAGAAAAGTAACACAGCCAACTCCGGCTTCTTATTAAGGGCCACGGAAACCTTTGGCCTCGAAAAATCCCTTTGTCAGGAAGGCATAAAACAACCCGCTCTAAATTAAAACCAATCTAATAAGGTCTCGTGGGAATAACAGCCAAGGCTTGACTGCCTTTCTCTCAACTCCGGGTAATAGAGCTTTTAGGGTGGAGGGGGGGAAAAATCATCTTGAAAAGGAAATTCCTCGCAAGTGAAGTCACTTCTTGAGCGATCAGCACATTCCAACTTCTGGCAAAAGAAAATACCACTATTTACAATCTGTATAAAATGTGCAACTCTTGGAAAAGAGGGAGGGGAAAAAAAGCGAAGAGAAGGGGAAACACAGACCACCAAATATTGAGCCAGACTTCAGTTTAATAACATGGCATTTCGATAAATAACTCGAAATATTATGCCTCGGAGGCGGATTTATTGGAGCTGCTTCGCCAAGACTATTCCATCCTAAAATCAATGGTCTTCTACAGGAATTTGGTGCAGAAAAATGGCTGGATCTTGAGCTACTAAGGAATTAATGCAGTATAAAGGGACCTCTTTGCAGGGAAGAAATAAATTCCTATGTAAAAAGAGCCTGGTTCAACTCTAAAGTTGACTGTTTTCAAGGAGAAATGTGCCAGATACGATTTGCTGTTCCAAATTGGGAAACCTGTGAGACTTCCGGTAGACATAGGGTGCGTCTACACGGCGGCATTCATGCAGTTTAACACCACTTTAACAGCTATGGCAGTGGTTCTCAAACTTCCTAATGCCGCGACCCCTTAATACAGTTCCTCATGTTGTGGTGACCCCCAACCATTACATTATTTTCATTGCTACTTTGTAACTGTAATTTTGCTACTTTTATTAATCATAATGTAAATATCTGATATGCAGGATGTATTTTCATTCACTGGACCAAATTCGGCACAAATACCCTACATACCCAAATTTGGAGGAGCCCCTGGATATTATTCCACAGATACATAAACCTCACTTGCCTACTTTCCAACAAAGAATCCCCCCAGGCAGCAACCTGCTGAGTCTCAACACTTTGAAGCTGAAAAGCCATTAAATGCTAATCAAGGTAGCCAATTAGAACATTCGCACTTGTTTCAAGCAAAGAGTCCTTTCCCCCACCCTGGACATTCCACAGATAAATAAACCCCACTTGCATTGTTTCCAACAGAGCTCACAACCTCTGAGGATGCCTGCTATAGATTTGGGTGAAACGTCAGAGGAGAATGCTTCTGGAACATGGCCATGCAGCCCGGAAAACTCACAACAACCCTGTGATTCCGGCCATGAAAGTCTTCGACAAAATATTCAAGATTCTTATACAGACCAGGACTTTGTAAAACCGTATCCATTTTGGCCCCTTTTTGGGCTGAGACATTGTATATAAGTCTATCAATAAAAACCAACCATTTACTGATAATCAATCTGCTTTTTCCCATTTTCTTTGATGGGACCCAATTTGGGTCGGAACCCACAGTAATATTAGGCATCCAGAAGACAATAGTTTTGGTTGCCTTCCGTGTCGTATGGCCATGTTCCAGAAGCATTCTCTCCTGATGTTTCACCTCCATCTATGGCAGGCACCCTCAAAGGTTGTGAGG